GACTGGATGAGGGTGAAGGGAAAACGGGTTCTACAGGGCTGGTGGGGTTCAGAGGGGAAAGCTGGATGAGGCAGGGGGGTTAGGAAGGGCTGGGGGTCCTGGAGGGGACCAGGGATGGGCTGGGGGGGGTCATGGGGGGCTGGACAGGGTGACCCCCACATCAGGGCATAAGGACACCACAACCCTGCCTGGCAGAGGAGAACACCTGTCTCTGTTGCCCATCCCCATGGTGGGGAAAGGAGGAGAAAGTTGGCATCGCAGGGGTTTGGGGAGGCATGGAGAGCCAGTGCTGTGGAGGAGCCAAGCTGACTTGAGGTCTGGCAGGTCTCTGAAGCACGATGACTTCTTCCCATACGCGGACGGCCCCCACCAGTTCTGGACGGGCTACTTCACTAGCCGGCCCAGCTTCAAGCGCTACGAGCGCCTCAGCAACAACTTTCTTCAGGTGACCCCTGACCCCTGGGCCAGCACCAGTATTCATAGGTTCCCACCCCCGACCCCAGTCACTCCTGTTCACCACCCTTCTCACCTCCTACCAGGTCTGCAAACAGCTGGAAGCTTTGGCTGGTCCTGGCATCAGGAAGGGTCCCTATGGCGAGGGTGACAGCTCCGTGCTGCGTACGTGAGGCTGGCCATGACTGCCCCCACTTCAACACCTGGGGGGTGACAGCCAAGATGAGGATAGGGGGGCTGTTGCAGCATGAGGCAGCACTGAGCCCACAGTAGTGGGGGCACTGGAGGAGAGCTTCTGGCTGAGGTCTGGGAGGAGGGGAGGTTCCCATTGAGGCTGGTGTTGGGGTAAAACAGGCTGCTGTCCCACCTGGGGGGCTTGGCTGAAGCCCCCCCCATCCCTCCTTCAGGCCGTGCCATGGCCGTGGCCCAGCACCATGACGCTGTGAGCGGGACAGAGAAGCAACATGTGGCAAACGACTATGCCAAGCGCCTGGCTGCTGGCTGGGAAGCCTGCCAGGTACATGGGAGTGTGGATGGGGGGCTGTCTGGCACCCCCCTGCTCCCTCACTGCAGGATATGTAACTGCTCCCCCAGCATAGCACCCTCTGCTGGACCCCCCCTAACCTGTCACACAGCATAAAGTTCTCTGCTGGATCCCCCTGCCCCCCAGCTTCTAGTGGGTTAAAGCAGGGGAGCTGCTGCATCCTTTACTGCCTCTCCTCCCCCTCACGGGGCCCCTTTCACATGCACCCTGACCAGGCTTCCCCCCAACCCTGCAGGTCCTGGTGAGCAATGCACTGGCCACTATCAGTGGCAGCAAAGAGAACTTCATCTTCTGCAACTACCTCAACATGAGCGTCTGCCCGCTGAGTGAGGCTGCTGGCCAGGTGAGCCCCGGGGGCTGGGGGCCAGGAGACTGTTGTGGGGGGCTGCTTTGGCTCACAGTGTCCATCTCTCCATCCCTGCAGTTCACAGTGATCCTGTACAACCCACTGGGCCGGAGAGTGCGCTGGATCGTGCGGCTGCCGGTCAATGGGACGCAGTATTCGGTGATGGACGCTGATGGGCAAGCGGTGCTCAGTGAGGTGCATATGCCTGGGGCTCAACCTGGCTCTTACCCCAGGCCTCTTTGGGGTTGTGAAGACCCCAGGGCTGTGGGGGGGAGGTGGGGGGTGTTCCAGTCACTGATGGGAATCAAACTGCCAGCTTTCTGGGAAGGGGCTGTGTTGGTAGGTGGGCAGCCACTAGAGGGTGATGTAACTGGAGGCCAGAGCATTCTCTGCTGGTCTTATGCTGCACCTCTCCCCAGCACAGCACCCTCTGCTAGACACCCCCTGCCCCCTCCCCCCAGGAGTGCAGGTTAGGGGGCAGGGGGTGGGCATTTTGCCTTGGAGCCCAGATACCTGGGTTTCATTCTAAATTCTGGGAGGGGAGCAGTGGATTGGAAGGAGGAGGGGCTGGGAACCAGGACTCCCAGGTTCTCTTCTAGCTCTAGAAAGGGATTGGGGCCAAGGGATTGAGAGCAGGGGTGGGACTGGGATGTCTGGATTCTTTTGTTCTGGGATGGGAGTGGGGGGGCTGGTGGGTGCTGGGAGCCTGGATGCCTGGTTCTTTCCCCAGCTCTGGGAAGGGAGCTGTAGGTTGGAGGAGAGAGCCTGAAAGCCCTGCTCCCCACGGCACAGCACCCCTGCTGCTCCAGAGCCCACCCAAACCTTACCTACCCTTCCCTGCCCTGCCCTCCAGATCATCCCTGTCTCTAACTTCACACGGCAGCTGCGGCGGGATCGAGGCAATGCTCGCCTCGAGCTTATTTTCCCAGCTGTGGCCCCAGCTCTCGGCTATGCCACCTTCGCCATTACCCGGCTGGCTGGGGAGCGCCAGCTTGGCCCTCAGGAGATCCATGCTCGGCCCCTGGAGATTCACAATGAGGTATTGTACTGGGGAACAGAAATAAGCAGCTCTTTCCTCCGACCCCATACCTAGAACAGGTTCTTCTGCTCCTACCCAGTAGAAGGCTTTTGTGGAGGGGGGTATGTGGCTGCTGCTCCTAACTCTGGGGTCTCTGGGTTGGGGGGTGTGGCTGGAGCCAGGCTCAGCCCTGTGCTACTTTGCAGAGGAAGAGACCATGCCTCATCTGGTCTGGTCCTGCAGGGGTTGGGGGGAGCCTGGACACCTGGTTTTTCCCCACTCCTGGGATGGGATTCAATTCAAAGGTGGCTCTGTTCCCACTGGGAATTGCCCCCCCAGGGGCTTGGACCCTGCTCGCTGCCCCCTATCTGCCTCCTGCCATGCCTAAAGCAGAGTATCAGCCTCTACTTAGAGCCTGCTATCTGCCCCCCTCCCTCAACCCCCCACTAGGGCTCAGGTCTGCCATCTCCTACCTTTCCAGCATGTTCGTGTCCTGTTTGACCCTGTCACTGGGTTACTGCAAGAGATTCAGAACCTGGACAAGGGCATCACCCTGCCTGTGACCCAGGGCTTCTTCTGGTGAGCGTGCCTGGATGCCTTGGTTCTCTTTTTCCAATCTGGGAGGGGGCAATGGTTTGTCTAGTGGTTTAAAGCAGGAGAGAGGTGGGTAACCCAGACACCTGGGTCCTCTCCTTCTGATCTGAGTTGGGGGTGGTATCTAGTGGGTTAAAGCAGAACAGGGAGTGGGGAGCCTGGATGCCTGGGTTCTCTCTCTGTTCTTGTGTGGGGCAGGGAGTCTAATGGGTTAAAGGAGAGAGTGGCAGGGAGCCCGGATGCCTGGATTCTCTCTCTGCTCTGGGTGAGGGAGAGGAGGGGGTATAGTGGATGAAAGTAGAAGTAGGGGGGAGGCTGCATGCCTGGGTTCTCTCCCCACTCTGGGAGAGAAGCAGGATATAGTGGGTTAAAGCAGGAGAGAGCTTGCAGGGGGGAGCCAGATGCCTGGGTTCTCTCTCTTGGGCTGCAGGGACCAGGACGAAGCACATGAGAGAAGGGGGCCTGGGCACCCAGACTCCTGGGTTTTCACTGGGCTTTTGTCACCATGTCACATGGGAGGGCTGTGGTGCACCCAGCTCTGGGGCTGGGACAGTGCCTTGCACCTGGAGCTGGGTGCTGGAGATCAGGTGTCCCCTTCTTACCTGCCAGGACTGACCCTTGATCCTCTCACCCCTCCTGTCTGGCCTAGGTACAATGCCAGCATTGGCAATGAGGAGAGCAGCCAGGCCTCAGGCGCCTACATCTTCCGGCCTAACCGCTCAGAGCCCATCCCCATGGCCTGGCGGGTCCACACATACCTGGTGAAGGTGCGTCAGTGTGGGGGTATCCAAGCAGGGCTGTGGCGGGGCCAGGATTCCCAGTCTTTGGGATCTGGCAGTGAGGAAATAGGGCTGCAATGATGGAAACAGAAGCAGCCCCTGGTGTCCCACCCCACATCCCAAAGGTGGCCTCATCTCAGTTCAGGATAGAGGGGCCCTGTTATACCCAGCCCTTATTGCCCCCCTTCCACCAGAACTAGCTGCATCTTAGTGCTAGGCGTTGAGTCCCTGCACATCCAACACCTAACACCCCATCTCAGTGCTGGACAAGGGACCCTGTTATACTCAGGCATAGCATGCTGCACCCCAGAGTCAGCCACATCTTGATGCACGGTGAGGGGGCTCTGTTCTACTCGGCACCTGTCACCCTACGCCAGAGCCTGCCACCTCCCTGGTCAGTGCCATGCTCCAAGCTGTGACCCCTGCCCCCACACTGTTTCCCCCCAGAACCATCTGGTGCAGGAGGTCTATCAGAACTTCTCAGCATGGTGCTCCCAGGTGGTGCGGCTCTATGCTGGGGAGTCCCACGTTGAACTGGAGTGGACAGTGGGACCCATCCCCACAGAGTGAGTGCAGGGCTGGGAGGGCAGGGGCCTGGTGGGCTGTGAGGGAAGTCCTTGGTGTTGGATGCACCCCCTAGGTCCCATCATGCCCTGCAGCACCAGGATTCAGGCTCCATTCGCTGGGAATAGTCTGCTGTAGATGTCCTACCCCCGATGTGTGTGCATCTCAGCCCTGGGAGCGGGGTTCCTGCTTTATACAACCCTTGATGCCCCACCCCAAAGCCAGCTACATCTCAGTTTAGGATGAAGAACCATATTATACTTAGCATCTGACGTCCCGCTCCAGAGCCAGCAGCAGTTCAGCCCTGGGCCAGGGGATCCTTGTTACACCCAGCCCTCAACATCTCACCCCAGACCCAGCTGCATCTCAGCCCTGAGCTAGGTGTCTCTGCCAGTCCCAGCCCCTGATGCTTCAACCTGGAACCAGCTGCACCTCATCTCAGAGTGAAGGGTGCCTGCTATGCCGAGCACCTGGCATCCCACCCCAGAGCCAGCCTCAGCTGAGCATGGTCAAGAGTTCCCTGTTATATACCTAGTCTCCCCATGTTCCACCCCAGAGCCAACCTCACTCCAGCCCTGGGTGAAGAGTCCTTGTTACAGGGTTTCTCCCTCCCCACCCCCGCCATGCATACCAGCCCAGGGCGAGAGCTCCCTGTTGTACACCCCACTCCAGAGCCAAGGTGCATGTTGGCCCCTAGGAAGTTAGTTGTGGGGGGCAGCAATGATGAAGGGGGTCCCCAGCCAGGGCCTGACCCCACTCACCTACCCTGCAGTGACGGGTGGGGCAAGGAGATCATCAGTCGTTTCGACACCCCTCTTGAGACGGATGGATGCTTCTACACAGACTCCAACGGGCGGGAGATCCAGGAGCGCAGGTGTTTGTGGGGGTGGGGGCCCAGATGCCTAGGTTCTGTCCCCAGCTCTAGGAGAAGAGCTGTGGATTGGAGGGTGGGCTGGGTTCTCTTCCAACTCTAGGAAGGGATTGGGAGCAAGGGGGGCTCGGACACCTGGGTTCTGTTTCCTGCTGTGAGGTGGGTGGGAAGCTGGTGGGTTTAGAGCTGGGAGTGGGGCTGGAATCCTGGATGCCTAGGTTCTGTCCATGGCTGGCCACCCCCCAAAAATGCCCTGCTTGTGGGGTGGCTCAAGGCTTTTCTGGCAAGGGGTTCTGGCCTTGGGGTCACCCGGCTCTGCTCACCAGGCGCAACTTCCGGCCCACATGGAACCTGAGCCAGACGGAGCCGGTGGCTGGGAACTACTACCCTGTCAACAGCCGCATCTATATCAAGGTACCAGGGGGCTGGGCCTGGGGTGGGACAAGGGTTGGGGCTCAAACCCTCCTTCTCCCTTCATACCTCTCACTGGCTGTGATGCATGTGCTGGATGGAGCAGAGAATGGCCACAACTCTGCTCACTGGTGTCTCGTCCCCCAGAACAGGAAATTCCAGCTGACAGTACTTACCGATCGTTCCCAGGGTGGCACCAGTGTCTCTGATGGCTCCCTTGAGCTCATGGTGAGGCTGGGGCTGGGGCTCTCGCCTATGGGGGGTGGGGTGCATTCTGGGCTGCACTCTGGGCTGTGGGTTCGAATCCTGCCTTGGGCAGGTGTTCACACATGGCTTGTGGGGAGGGGGAGGTTATTCTTTGGGCCATGGGTTTGTGTGTGGCCTCAGGCACTGCTCTCATATGGGGGGTGTGGAAGAGCATGCTGTCTGGGCCATGGGTTCAAATTTTGACTTGGTTGGGTGCTTACCTGGGGTGAGGGATGTTTTCTGTGGGCCATGGCTTTTGAGTCCTGCCTCAGGCGCAACTCAGCCATGATGGGGATGCTGCCTGGGCTGTGGGTTCATATCTCTTCTCAGATGGCTGCTTGAATATTTTGGGGGGTATGGGGGGTGTCCTCTGGGCTGTGGGTTGGAGTTCTGTCTTGCTCGTGTATAGGGGAGGGGGAGGTGCTGCTGTCTGGGCTGTGGGTTTAAATCTCACCTTGGGCAGCTGCTCTTATGTGGTTGGGGGGTGAATTTGAATCTCACCTTGAATGACTGCTCACACATGGAGCAAGTTGAGAGGGTCTCAGCCTATTTCAGCTTGCAGGGCCTAGGAGTTGGGGGACCCCTTCTGCTCTGTATAACCTACTCCCAAGGCTTCTAGGAGCCTGATTCCTGCTCCCACCTCTCTCTCTAGTATTGGGGGCCCTGCCCCACTTGGGGCTCTATTGTCTTGCAGATGCCCCCCCTTTGTGGGGGTTATGGTGGGGGGGTTGGTCTACAGCCTGGCCCATGCCAACACTTGCCCTACCTCCCCACTAGGTGCACAGGCGACTGCTGTACGATGACGATCGGGGGGTGGGGGAGCCACTGATGGAGCCGGGTGACTTCCATGATGGGCTGACTGTGCGGGGCCGGCACCTGGTGCTGCTGGACACGGTAGAGTCCTCACCCACCCGCCATCGCCTCCAGGCCCAGCAGGAGTTCATGGCCCCGCAGCTGGTGCTGGCCCCTGGCAGTGCTACCCCCTCCACCCAGGGGCAACGGGTGAGTGCCAGCCCTGGGGTCCAGTCCCACTGCTCACATGTTATAGGTTGGAGCAGAGGGAGTGATCCTGGATCCTTTATGCGTGCATGTCTTGATGCCATGGGTTCAAGTCCTATCCTGAGTGGCTGCTCCCACACTTTTGGTAGGGTTTGGAAGAAGGGGTATGCTCCTTGGGTTCAAATCCCACCTTGGACAACTGCTTACACATGGGCGGGGGTAAGGAGTTGTTGTCTGGGCCCTGAACCAGAGTGCTGCCTCCGGCGGGAGCTCACAGAGTCAGGGGTTGGTTCGTCTGGTCCATGGTTTCAAGTCCCACCTTGAACAGCTGTTCCCATGTGGTTGGGGACAGGGTTCTCAGAGCTGTGGGCTCAAATCCCACCTCTGGCAACTGCTCACACACACAGCGAGTTGAAATGGGTCTCAGCCCAACTCAGGGGGGAGGGACTGGTGTGGAAACCCTTGTACTCTATATAACCCCTCCCACTGTGATTCTTCCTCCTCCCACCTGCCCCAACTAGGAAAGGGGAGGTTGGGATCTTGGGGTCATCTGCTGTCATTGAGGGCTGGTGCGGGGGGGGGGGGGGGGGGGGGGGAAGTGTGTTTGCTCCCCCCACTTTCCCCTCCAGCCCGTTTCACCCCTTCTCCCCTCCCTTCAGTTCACAGCACTGAGACAGGACCTGCCCCACAACATCCACCTGCTGACCTTGGCCCAGTGGGATGCCAACTCCATCCTCCTGCGGCTGGAGCACCAGTTTGAGCAGGGCGAGAGTGCCAACGGCTCCCAGCCTGTCATCCTCAACCTGCTGGTAGGTGCTGCCTGCCCCCAGGGCTTCTTACTGGAACCAGTGTCATGGAGGTACTTGTGTCGGGACCCTTGCTCCTGGTGCTGGCTGGTGCCTGGGCTTCAAAGCCCATAAAAGCCTCCATTGTAGCTTCATGATCCTGCTAAGGCTTCAGGGCCTCTGACCCAGCCGTGAATGGGAACTGATGCTGTCTCTCTACTCCCAGAACCTCTTCTCCTCCTTCACCATCACTGCCCTGCAGGAGATGAATCTTGCTGCCAACCAGAGGCGTGAGGATGTGACACGACTTACCTGGTGGCTGGAGCCAGGTGAGAGAGTCTGGAGGGGAATTGGGGTCCAGGTACCCCACCACGGGGCTAGGATAGAACTAGGGCTGAGTCCAAGGGGGGCTTAGGGACTACAGACATGCTTCCCCACCCCCCACTCACCTCCTGCCCTCTTCCAGGTGCAGCCCGGCCCCAGCCTCCCCCCAAACTGGACCCAAGCTGTGTCACACTGGAGCCTATGGAGATCCGGACCTTCCTTGCCACGGTGCAGCACAGAGACACTGGGGGGGGCCTGGCTGCCTGGTGAGGGAGAGAGGGGCCTCTACCTCTCCACCTGTGTGGGGGTGGGTCTACCCCCTCCATCCCTCTGGGACCAGGTTGTGCCTGCAACTTCTCTCTACCATCCCCCCTAGCTGCCAATACATTTTGCCAAGCCAGATTCAAAAGGGGCCAGGCTCAGGTACAACATCCTTGGCCTTGGCTGGCCCCACAGCCACATGCACACACATGCGACTCATTACCTGAATAAATGGTCTGTGGTCACTGTCACAACCTCAGCAAGTCTCTCTGGCAATAGCAGAGGTTGCTGGGGGGTGCAGTGCCCCTCCTGGGGGGCCCCCATGTCCAGGTCAGGCTCTGCCCCAAACTCCATGATACCAGCTAGGGGTATCCCCCACTGGCCCTGCTTCATCCTCCCAGCCTGGAGCTTTCCCTCCCTCCCCCCATCCCAGGGACCAGGTTCAAGCAGCTTGTGGTCTGCTTCTGGGGCCCACCAGGCCCACCCTCACAACCCCTCCAACATATTTAAAGTCTGTCTTGTGTCCGTCCTGCTTCCCCCACCCCCATATCTAGACCTGCTCATATCCACCCCCAGTTGCAGTCACCTCCTTAGGCACCCCCCCCAAACTTGTCCAGTCCATCACCTGAACCCACCTCACCCATCCCCAGGATTCCTCCCAACACACCTGAACCCCTTCATTTGAAACAGCCCTCACTCACACCAAGTTCCCTACATCCACAGTCCCCCCCTACACACCTAGATTTCTCTAGACACCCACCCAGACATGAAGCAGCACTCAGTGCTGGGATTGGCAGGTGCTGTCTGGCATTTAATTGCAGGGCCCAACTGGGCCCCTGTCAGCAGTAAAATCAAAAGAAGAAAAAATAAACCATAAGGGTCCAGCCCCAGGGACAGGGGCCCAGCTAGCTATGGGGCAAGGGGGCTGGGTGGGTCCAGCTCCGGCATGGGGGCATCAGGTTGGCCAGGGGTGCTAGGTTGTCCAGGATCTTCCAAGCTAGAGCAATCACGTTGGGAGTCCAGTGCAGGAGTCTCAGGCTGGGGGCCTGGTGCAGAGGTTTCCTCTGGTGTGCGAGAGTAGCAGCACTGGTCACCAAAGGAGCAGGTCCCCTGGAGGGGAGAAACATGGGGTGAGCAGAAGATATGCCCAGGGCCACTGGTGGGGGGCATGGGAGCAATGGCAGAGACCTGGACACCAGAGACTGGTACTGGAAGCCCCCCCCAAATGAAGTGAGGGTAGCTGCAGACACTGGAAAGACCCCAGGCTCCCCCCTTCCACAGCTGTGCAGAGGCAGAGAAAGACATGCCCCCCCCAACTCCTAGCTCTCACCTGCTTGAAGCGCTTGCTGGGGAAACTCCCCAGTGTGGCTCTAGCACTCTCCTCCCGCTCCTTGCGCTTGCCTTGGTGCTGCCGGCTCTTCTCCTGCAGCGCCAGGGAGATGCCACCCCTAGGAGAAGAAAAGGAGTAAGGGGGCCAGGGAAGGGGCCAGCAGCCTGCTACCCTGCCCCCAAACACCTGGGAGCCCCCCACATCTGCTGCTGACTTCAGCAGCTGCTTCTGCTGCTAGCTTTGGGGAGGGAGGGAGCTTGGAGCAGTGGAAAGAGCAGGCACTCCCAGTACCTGGTTGTGAATTAGCGCAGGGGACAGCATCAAGCCCCCCTAGGCAGCCTCAAAGGGGTAGGCACTGCCCTAGGTGAGGTAACTAAAGACAGGGAGGATCCCCCTCACACCCCTTCCCCAGAACCTCACCCAGCTTTGGCCCGGGCCTTGGGCCCCCAGTTGGCTTCAGGGTTCTCCTGGAACCGCTTGAGCCCACGCCGCCGAGACTTGGGGTTGGCATCTTCCCGCACAGTGAAGGAGGCCTTGAGCCTGCAAAGAAGGGGACTGCCCTAGGTGAGGTAACTAAAGACAGGGAGGATCCCCCTCACACCCCTTCCCCAGAACCTCACCCAGCTTTGGCCCGGGCCTTGGGCCCCCAGTTGGCTTCAGGGTTCTCCTGGAACCGCTTGAGCCCACGCCGCCGAGACTTGGGGTTGGCATCTTCCCGCACAGTGAAGGAGGCCTTGAGCCTGCAAAGAAGGGGAGAGAGGAGAGGGGGATGGGGGGGGGGGGGGGCGGGGGGCC